CTGAACTTCAGTGTCTTCCTTATAGTTCAGAGGGGAGGGCACCTGCCCCAGGTCACATAAAGGGCAAATGCTGAGTGGAGATTCAAACCAGCTGTGCTGACTCTGAAACCACAGTTCTCAGCCTCTCTGGGTGGCCTGCAACCCAGATTGTACTGGTCTGAACAGGTTGGAATGTAGGGGAAAGGTAGGAAGAGGAGCTGGGTGTTCTGGGTCCAGCTGCCCAGGTGTGGACCTTGGCCCCTACCTTGAAGCGCCCATGAGGAAGCAGGAGCAGCCCAGTTGGCCCAGCCCAGGAGGCAGTAGAGCAGGGAGGAGAACGGGGATGGAGCAAGGAGAAACCAGAGATCCTGTGGATAAATAAACTAAGGCCCGAGGGGGCAGGGCTAGCCCAGGCCTCCTGCAGTTTGCTTCCTGGAACTTGAGACTGGCCTCCAGAACCAGCATTCTGAGGCGATCAGCTCTGGCCAAGGGAACAACCTCCTCTGACCATTTGCTATGGCCCTCCATCACAGGTCCACAATGTTAGGTTAGGCCGGAGTCACGGGGAATGAAAGAATTCACAAGTATGGAGTGAGGTTCAAAGTAGAGAGCTATATCCACTTTCCAAGGGTCTACCATCAAAGAGCAGCGCTGGCCCTGTGGGTCAGGTGTTTGGGGCTTTTACTGCTTTTTATTTTAGGAGGGAAGGCACAGCGGCATGGTGGACAGGTGGAAAGGGAGGCAGATTTACAACCTAAATGAGGACGCCCTCTGGGCTAGTGTAACAGGATATTGGGAGGTGGTTTAAGGTACTGTCCATCTGGGTGAGCATCACAGGATATTGCGAGGTGGTTAGATATTGTCCGTTGCTCGGCCTCTGGGAGGTGGTGTATGGGTGCTGGGCACAGTGTAGGGAGTCCCTCATCACAGGTCAGCAGTTCTCCATTCCTGCAAAACAAGCTCAGGGAAACAGGCTGGGGTCTTGTAAGAGTTTACACACTACAGCTGAGGCCTTTCACACACCTCTTGTTCACAGAGGCTGATGAGCTACAAGGAGGGAGCTTGTTCCACCAAGCCAGCTAGGATGGGGCACACCTGGCTGAGCCAAAGCTAATTCCCAGCCCCTCATTTTACAGATGAGGAAACTGAAGTCCAGACAGTTTGACAAGAGACTTACTCAAACTCCCTGTAGCCATTTCTCTTTCCTGACTACGTACCTTTTTGTTTGTTTTCTGACTGCTGTTACAAATCACCACAAATTTTGTGGTTTAAACAAACACAAGTTTATTCTCTGATAGTTCTGGAGGCCTTAAGTCTGAAATCGGGCTAAGTCTAGGTGTCTGCAGGGCTGGTTCCTTCTGAAGAGAAGGAATCCTTTGATTGCCTTTTCCACCCTCTGGAAACCAGTTCAATTCAAGGTAGAAGTCAGCTCAGAAGGCTATTACAATTATTTTTATTCCCAAGGGGTCATCTTCATAGATTTTTTTCAAAAGGCACAGGATGATCACAGGGGATTGCTATGGAGTTCTAAGAAAACTAGAAACTGCATTAATGAGAAAACAACCAGGAAAGTTGCTCCAAGGAATTGTTTTCCCTATCAGGACAATGCACCTGCTGATTTTTCAAGGCTAGTTAAGTGCTGTCCCGGAGTCTTGGTGTGGCGCTGTGGGCTAATGCGCCAGACTGCAAAGCTGTTTGAACTGCATGGTCGGTGGTTCAAGCTCACCTGTTACTCCTTGGAAACCCTTTACAGGGTCGCTATGGGTCGGAACAGACTTGACAGCACTTAACAACAACAACGTGTTGTCCTGGTGTGGTGCTGTAAAATAAGCACTGGACTGCTGACCTCAAGGGTAGTAGTTCAAATCCACCAGTCGCACCTCAGAAACCCTATAACAGGGTCACTATGAGTTGGAATCGACCCCACAACACTTAACAAGTGCTGTCCTATGAGGATTTCACTTGGAAATCTTACCCTATCCACTCTAGCCCCTTCAGGCTTCTTTTTATTTCCCACACTCAAAGAACATTTAAAAGGAATATGATTGGAGTCCCTCAAGGATACCAAAACTGCCATTTTTAAGTGGTGTAAATCCAAGAGTGCAGAATCTTTGGGGAAGGTGATGAGAGAGGGAAACACTGCCTAGCAGTACATAGACCTAGAGGATATGTTGACACACAATAGCTTCACATTTTGGTATTTTTGTTTAGTAAAGGTTTCTATTATGCCTGACCCAAACCATGGTATTTTCAATAACCTCATATGCATGTGAAAGTTGGATAGTGAATAAGGAAGACTGTAAAAGAATCGATGCATTTGAGTTGTGGTGTTGGAGGAGAATTTTGAAAGTGTCATGGACTGCCGAAAGAACAAACAGATCTGTGTTGGAAGAAGTGCAGCCAGAGTGCTCCTTGGAAGCCAGGATGACCAAACTTTGTCTCATAATTTGGACATACTGTCGGGAGGGACCGGTCACCGGAGAAGGATATCATGTTTGGTAAAGTTGAGGGTCAGAGATAAAGAGGAAGACCCCCAGCAAGATGGATTGGCATAGTGACAGCATCAATGGGCTTAAGTGTAGCAATGATTGTGAGGTTGGCCCAGGACCTGGCAGTGTTTTGTTCTGTTGTGCATAGGTTGCTACCAACTCGATGGCACCTAACAACAATAATGATTTTATAGCAATCCTTTTAGACTTATCCTCATATAATCATTACTCATAGGCCACACAGAAAAATAAAACTAGAAGGCTATACTCCAAAAATGTTAGCAGTGGTTAGATTTCTCAGTGATGATACTGTGAAGAATTTGTATCATCTTTTTGCTTATCTACAATTTCTATTTATAATAAGTATTCACTGTTTATATAATCAATGTGAAATTTTTAAGTCTTAAAGACATAGCAACAACAAAACAAGCAAAAACCTAATTCTTCCCATCTTTAAAGCCTTAGCTTTGCTGGTGAGTTGCTTCTGAAAAATCAGTCACCGACAGCCCTCTGGATTGGCAAGGTCCGCCCTGTGGCTGATGGTGAGGATGATACTGGACCATCGGGCATGGGATGGCCACGAGTGAGATGCCAACTCCACGGCAGCTAACCACACTCCAGCTTCGTGTTAGGAGTCTCCAGACATTTTCAAGTTTCACCTCCAAGGACAGAACTTATCCAGTACTTTTTAACCAAGAAAAAAATGTAAGCCTTACAAAGGCAAGGGAGCACGATGGCTCCATACGATAAGCACTGGACTGTGAACCACAAGGTATGTGCTTCAAGCCCTCCAGATGCTCTGTGGGAGGAAAATGAGGCTTTCTGTTCCCTCAAAGATTTAAAGCCTTGGAAACTCTGTATAAGGTCTCTATGAGTCAAAACCAATTTGACAGCACTTAACAACAACATAAAGGTTTAGATGGGATTTCCATAGCTCTGTGGCATAAGCACTGGACTACTAACTACAAGGTCATGGTAGTTAGAACCCACCAACAGCTCCTCAGGAGAAAGATGAGGCTTATTGCTCCCACAAAGATTTACAGCCTCAGAAACCCTACTGGACAATAAAAGTATTTGTCAAACAGCAAAAAAACCAAAACACACCAAAAAAGCCTTAGCTTTGGCTTGTCTTCCCCAGGGATCCTTCCTTTACTCCCAGGGAGGAGGGGTCTGCCGTTCCCATGACTCCCTGTCTGGTCTTACTTCCTGGAGTTCTTGATCATGAGTCTGTTGGGCGGAAGGAAACACCAGAGAATGTGTTCTGAGAATAGCAAACATACTCTTTCTACCAGATGCATTTCACAGTAGTAACGGGACTTGCCCAAGTCACAGCAAATAGTGGCAGGGTCTTCAACCCAGGTTCCTGCCATCATCAAGGCCACAGGGGACAAGTTGTAGCCCAAGTATAACAAACGTGGAAAGGGATTCTTGGCATGGTATTTTCTCCTCTGAGAAGTGTGACTTTTCCTGTCCTCCCGTCTTCAGGGCCTGACATGCTAAACCCACTTTTTTGTTGTTAAGTGTGGTCGAGTCAGTTCTGACTCATAGAAACCCTGTATATGGTTTCTGAGGGTCAGCTTATGGGTTTGAAGCACCAGCCTTGAGGTTAACAGTCCAGTTATTATCTTACAGTGCCCGCCACAACTTCAAACCCATTTTACAGATCAGAAAATGGTGTCTGCATACTAAGGCTGTGCTAAGGAGATGCAGTCCTGAGAGCAGCCACGAGGTGGCAGCACTGAATCTCATGTCCAACCCTGACGGGATTTGCAAACTCTAGACTCTATCACCCTCTGGTGGTTGTGGTAGAACACAGCTAGCTTAAGAAGTATTTGGGGAAAGAGAGGCAGGGTTGTCACCTGTAGTGGAAGGGGCTGTGTTGGAAAAGAAGCTGGATCCAGGCAGTGCCCTGGGGTGGTGTCAGCTTAACTGGCCAAGCTCGGTCACAAGGAACAGGTCTGGAACCAGGACAGCCCCACCAGGGCTTTCTAGCCATCCTTTAGGTCATACAGGAAGTAAACTATTTTCTTTATTGTAAACAAGACGCACAGTCCTGGGTGGGTTTGGGTAGAACAGACACTTGAGGGAAGCTTCACTCTTTGCCCCTGATCCCAAGCCCAAGAAAAGGGTTCTTCCCAAAACAAACTCTCCCTGTCCAGGGCTGGGTCAGGCCGGCTGGAACAAAACAGTCACTCAGAGTCCCTGGAGAACAGCTGAAAGGCAGGTAGGCCAGGCCAGGGGGTGGAGTGGGTGGCCTCCGCTGCACTGGGGTCAGAGAGAGAGCCCCTCCAAGGGCTGCTGAACGGAAACTGAGCATGGGCCTTCTTCAGTGTCATAGGCCCCAGTAGGAATTCAGTGTCAAAAGCGAGAGGGCTCAGGGGGGCTAGTCTCGGTATCCATATGATGAGGAGACCACCAAGAGGCAGAATGGTGCTGTGCCCCCATAGCACTCAAACACCACACCAGTCAGTGCTGGCCAAGGGCTCCGGTATCCCACCGCCAGCGTCCTCCCCGTCCTCTTGTTGGGGGTGCTCAGTGCACTGGGGGGGTCTCTGCGATGGCCTTCTCCACCCGCTGGTACCAGGGCTGGATGAGTGTGTGACGCATGAGGTCATCGAAGGCCTCCAGACCCTCCATTACACGCAGCACGCCATACACCGCCTGTGTGGGGAGCAGAATGATCACTGGCTTAGTCCAGAGCAGGGCATGTGGGGCAGAGATGGGGGGTGGGGGTGGGGTAGGGGGGGAAAGGTCTGAACCTGCCTCAGCCTCTACCAGTTGTGCCTGGGGCCAGTCACCTTCCCCCCATCCCATGCACCCACCCCCCTAGCCCTAGCCCTGAGATTTCCATGACCTCTGAAAGGCCAACTGTATGTGCAGAGTGAGAAGAGCAGGGTGTGGCCACAGGTTTCCACTGCCTAGAACCCAAGTCTCCCATTCTAGGCAAAATCCCACTGCTGAGCTTCCTTTGGGAGAAAACCCTCATAGAACTCAGCTTCTGAGGTGTGGAGGAAAAGGACCCTACCCCAGAACTAGGTCTACCAATCAATGGATTATACTCTGGATCATGGGGCTGCTTCAAGAGGCGCATCTTAGCCAGGCCAATGAGATGCTGTCCCGTGATTTTTTCTGGGTGGCAACCTGGAGCTGCAGGACCCAGGCCTGCTTCAGGCGGAACCAACTCCAAAAGGTGGCAATAGTGAGAGCCTATGTTCTGGTAACACTACTCGGGCCCCTGGAACCAGCCTGACCTGAAGGCAACCCCTGAATTTGTCAGTTATGTGAACCAATACAGTTCCTTGTAGTTGGTTTTTCTTATGCCACTCTGAGTTGGGCTTCTGCCCGACAACAACAGATGGAGCCAGCTTTCTCTGGGGAGTTAGGGGGCTTCCAGATGTCGGCATTTCAGGGCTTTCTCTGCCTCTTTCTTTGCCCCTCTGTCCGGTCACTCCCCACTACCACCACTCACCAGATCAGCAAGGTTCGGCTTCTGGCCTCCCATGAAGGGCCGGTCTTTGCCCACAGCGGCCACCCACTTGTTGGCGGCTTCATAGAGGTCCTCACGCACATCATCCTGAAGGTGGTGCCTGGAGGGGTGGGGGAGAAAGTCCATCAGGGCAGGGCCTGCCCCTCCCAGGTGGAAACCAGCTTCCTCTGGGGAGAGCAGGAAGGCCTAGGGGACAGGGTTCCTCTGCTACACCCCAAGTGGGCACATCACACCTATAGAGCCCAAGAGACCTCATTAATCACTGCCCCAGATACAGAGATCATGGCACAGAGAGGGCAAGACACCTGGCCAAGGTCATCAGCAAGAAAGAGAGACAGAGGAAAGCCCAAGGCAGGGACCCAGGCCCCTGGGCTCCAAGGCCAGCCTTGCTTCCCTTTGCTGGAGAAGAAACAATCATGAGTCATGGGTTTGAGTCCTGGCGCTGCTAAGTGAGTATGTGATTGGTGCCTTCTTCCATTCTGAGGGGTTGAAGGGATCATTTTCAGGACTGAGAATCCACAGCCCAACACTATAGTCTTGAAGGTGGGTGTCCAAGGGCTTGGGGTTGAGGGAGAGAGGAACAGTGCCCCCCCCCACACACAAATATGCACACACACATGTACCATCACCTGACCTGCTCTTGAGTCGCTTGCTGATGAGGTACATGGCAGCTGCACCCACATACTTGGCCACGGCACCTTCCACAGCCCCGAACTTGCCCTCGTGGACAATGTAGTCAAAGGAGGCCAGGGCCTCGGCAGGCGTACGGTACACGTTAGGGGAGATCAGGTGCACCAGCCAGTCATCTGCCCACTGCCGCCACTTCATCTCCTCCCTGTGGGTATGGGAATGAGGGACAGTGGGGGGTGGGGTAGGGAAGGGGTTATCACTCCCTATCCTCACAGCTATATCTTCCCAGGCCCACTAAAAGGTGAAACCAGGTGGACTTCCCAAGCCACATGCCCAGGGTGTGTGGGGAGCAGAACAGACTATGTATGGATGGGAAACTGAGGCCTTTGTTGTTATTAAGTACCATCAAGTTAGTTCCAACTCATAGCAACCTTGTATAGGGATTTTGAGGCTATAAATCTTTGCTGGAGCAGAAAGCCTCATCTTTCTCCCAAGGAGTGGCTGGTGGGCTTGTACCACCAATCATGTGGTTCATAGTCCAATGTATATCCTACAGAGCCACTGTGCTCCCTGGGAAGGTCCTAACTAAGATTTAATCCCAGGCTCCTGCCAATCCAGCCCTCGAGGTCTCCTAGACCACTTACCCTCACAGCATCCCCCTCTGCCTGGCCTTGTTCTGGGGAAGCCCCCCATTCTCACCAACTCCCCTGAGCCAACCCCAGCTCCACTCACGTCCTCGCCTCCTTCCCGCCGTATATCCGCTGGGCCTCCTTCTCATCTAGCATGAGCCAGTACTTGTTGCAGAACTCGTTCACCTCCTTGCCCTGCTCATTCACGGCCTTCATGGATGGGTAGTAAGTGATGACCTCCTCCAGAGGCTGCCTTCAGGAGACATCCAGAGACTCATCCCCAACTTCCTCCTAAGCCCTTGCCTCCTCCTGTCCACCCAGCCTGGCCCTAGTCCCGGAGTAAAGACAGGACAGACCCACAAAGGCTCTCCACCCCTCCTACAGGTGACCCAGAAAGCCCTACAGCAAGAGAGATTTAAGGTAGAAAGATGAGGCTTTCTACTCCCGTAAGGATTTACACCCTCGGAAACCCTGTACAGGGTAGCTATGGGTCGGAACTGACTTGACGGCACTCAACAACAACAACAACATCAGAAGCACTTCCCTGACAAAGGGAGATGTGCCAGGACAAGGGTGTCTCGGAGTAGGCCCCATGGTCTCTTCTGGAAAGTGATGCTCCCATGAAGGCAACTCAGGCGAGGCCTCCCTGGGGCCAGGAGAATAGAGCCACAAGAACCAGCCTGGGCCTCTGAGGGTTCCTTACCCCGACACCAGGTAAGTCTTGAGGGCGCTGATGATAACGGAGGAATCATTCAGTTGTTGCTGGAAGACAAGAGGCTGGTTTACCTCAGCAGTTTCCATAGGATCACTGGGCCCACTTAAACAATACCAACGGCCAGACACTCCGAGGAAATGGTCAGCGGAAGACTGGGCATTGTTTATTCATCCCTGGGGGGTTTAACCCTAAAACCAATGTCCACTGAGTTCTCCTCCTCCCCCCAGGATCCAGTCTACGCCCTCCAGGAACCTCTCTGTCCTAGGTAAGCAAGACCCAGGGTCCGAGCCGCTGGTCCCCTCACTGTGCCTCCTGGTACTAGGGGGCAGGTGAGCTTCTAGATTCTACATTCTGGGTGCTGAGGACTGTACCAGCCTAGAGATAATGTTCAAGTTGATGAAAAGAAACAAGCCCAGAAAGGTAAAGTGATTGGCCCCTAGTCACATAGCAATCAGGCCTTGAACTCAAACTACCTTGACTTCAGAACTCATGTTCTCCTGCCTCACTTAGACCCAGCTGGTATTTGGTGCTGCTAAGGAAAGCCAGAAGCCAACATGTATTGACCATCAACTGTATATCAGCTACTTTCCCCTTCTAATTCTAAGTTGAGGCCTAGCAAGCCCACGCCTGCAGAGCAGACTCAGGGTGCCTAATGCCAGCTTGTGGCTGTCCTGGGCTCCAGAAGTAACTAGGGACAGGAAAGAGGTGGAAAGAGGTCTCCCCGAGGCTCACCAAGCAGTCTCCCTCCTGGGCCAGCAAGATGGGCACTTTCCTGTAGGAGGAGAACTTGATCTCGGCCCTGCGCACAGGGTTCACTTCCACCACCTGGTAGGGCAGGGCGTGGAAATCCAGGAAGGCTCGGACCTTGCTGCAGAAGGGGCATGTCTTGTACTGGTACAAGGTCAGCTGCAGGTGGCTTGACAGGGACAGCTGCATGGGGCAGAGGCACAGAAGGCACCTGAGAGGCCGGTGTCCCAGGCCCAGACCTCAGTCCCCCAGCAAGCAAACATACGAGGAGGCTTCAAAAAGTGTGTGGGGGAAAAAAAAAAGTGTATGGAAAAATGGGATGAAGAGAACTTTCTGAAGCTGCCTGTATTTCTCAGGGAAGGTTTCAGAGGTGGCCTTGAGAGGAGCTGGAGGAATGTGGGAGCAGTGCAGAGAGAGAAGGAAGCATGGGGGGAGGGGAGCTAATGCTGTGAGTGGACAGCCCAGGTTCAAACCCCCACCAGCAAATTTTCCTGGGCGGCAGGTCAAGCGCATGTGGAGGTCTGCATAGGAGTCCTCTGTCCAACTCTGGAGGACAGCTCTCCTCTCCCGCCTGTCCCAAGGGGACACCAGACAGTCCCTTGCTGTGTACCTCACATGTAAAACAACTACTTCAATGGGGAAGGCCCACCCTCACGCCCCAGCCCCAGGGGCAGTGTTGGCCAGAGGTGGGTTCTACCTCAGATCTCTAAGAGGGACAAGTTGTATCTGGGCCATGGCCCTGGACTCTGCATTTTAGTAGGAAAGCTCCCAGGTGAGCTTGCAGCACATTCATGATTGAAAGCCACAGTTGCATATCACCCCCTTCCCTGTTCGGATGGGAAGTCAAGGCCAGGGCCTTGGATGTCTACAGGGAAATACAGTGCTGCCAATCTCTCCCCCTGCACCCACCCTCTTCCCCCAGATCCAGCAATCTGACACTGTGGGTGGGTGGTGGGGGCGAGAGCAGAGACAAGGGGCTGTGTTGGTGCTGGGTTGTAATATAAAGTGTTTCAAGGAGGCAAGGCCACAATCCTGCTGGTGGGACACTTCCCTACTCCTTTATATCTCAGGGCCTAGATTCTAATAGTCGTCATTGTTAAGTGACACTCAATTGGTTCCCACTCATAGCAAGCCTGTGTAGGATTTCCAAGGAGCAGCTGGTGAGCTTGAACTGCCAACCTTGGTTAGCAATCCAGTTTTTATCTTACAGTGCCACACCAGGATTCCCATTAGCAGTTTGAAAATACTAATAATTATACAACCTGAAGATTAGAGATGAAAAAGGGTCGATACCACCACTCATCTGTCAGTTTGTTGTACTGGCTCGCGTGTTGCTATGTTGTTGGAAGCTAAGTCACCTCACCGGTATTTTAAATACCAGCAGGGTACACCCATGATGGGCAGGTTTAACCTGAGTTTTCAGACTAGGAAGGAGAGGCGGACTACTTCTGAATGTTTAGTCACTGCAAACCTTATGACTAGCAGTGGAACACTATCAGCACCAGAATACTGAAAATTGAAACCCGATGAGGAGTATCAGAATCTTGACAGATATGGTGCTGGAAGATGCGCTCTCGGGTTGGAAGGCACTCAAAACGTGACTGGGGAAGAACTGTCTCCTCAAAGTAGAGTTGACTGATGGCACAAATGGAGTCAAGTTTTCGGGACTTTCATTTGATAATGGGGCACAACTCAAAAGGAGGAGAAACAGCTGCAAACATCCATTAATAATGGGAACATGGAATGTATGCAGTATGAAGCTAGGAAAACTGGAAGTGGTCAAAAAGGAAAGGAAACACATAAAGATCATTATCCTACGCATTAGTGAGCTGAAATGGACTGGTATTGGCCATTCTGAATATGATAATCAGACAGTTTACTATGCTGGGAATGACAAATTGAAGAGAAATGGTGTCTCATTCATCATCAAAAAGAACATTTCAAGATCTGTCTTGAAGTATAATGCTGTCTAGGAGGCAGACCAGTTAATACTATTATTATTCAAATGTACACACCAATAACTAACACCAGTGATGATGAAATTGTGGCATTGTTAGACTGCAAGGTCGGCAGTTCAAGCTCACCAGCTGCTCCTCAGAAACTCTATACAGGGTCACTATGGATTGGCACCAAGGATCTCTGGTAGCGTAGCACTTACAAGTCAGGCTGCTAACCTCAAAGTCAGCAGTTCAAAACTACCAGCTGTTCCGTGGGAGAAAGATGAGGCTTTCTGCTCCAGTAAAGATTTATAGCCTCAGAAACCCTGTACATGGTCACTATGAGTAGGAACCGATTCCATGGCACACCACCTCCACCACCATGGGCTGGAACTGACTCGACAGCACTTCACAAAAACAACAACCAGTTTACTAAGTCTAAAACTGATCAAACATGCAATCAAGATATATTGATAATTACTGGAGATTAGAATGTGAAGGTTAGAAACAAAGAGGAAAAATCAGTAGTTGGAAAAAGATGGTCTTGATGATAGATAAGATGCTGGAGATTGCATGAGAGAATTTTGCAACACCAAAGACTTGTTTATTGCAAATACCCTTTTTAAACAAAATAAAGACACATGAACCTCACCAGATGGCATACACAGAAATCAAACTGACTACAACTGTGGGAAAAGACAACGGAAAACCTCCATTATCATCCACCAAACTAATACCAGGGGCAGACTGTGGAACAGATCACCAATTGCTCATATGCAAGTTAAGGGTGAAGCTGAAGAAAATGAAAACAAGTCCACAAGAGCCAAAAATTAAACCTTAGAAATCATCTCAAGAATAGATTTGACGAGAAAAGTTGTGGGAAGACATCAGCACATCTTATAGGAAGAACGGAAAAGGTCATTAAGAAGACAAAAAAGGGATGTGAGAGCGATCTGGCTGTGATATCTGTCACCCCATTGATCACCAGGATTGATTCGGCTGATCTGGCTGGCTAGGCCGGTGTCTCCTCCTTCCCTCACCTCTCCATGTGTGTCCCTCCCAGAGCTGACGCTTGGTTGAAAAGGGCGACCTTCCCTGATAGAGGAGGGCCATCCTTCAGTCAAGGGTATATGAGTAGCCATGCTCCCCTGCTAGACCCTCCAAACAAGCTCTCAAGAAAGAAAGGGCCAAGAAGAGTGTCAGAAGAGACTCTGAAACTTGCTCTCCAGCATAGAGATGCTAGAGCAAATGGAAGACATGAGGAAGTCAAAGAGCCGAACAGAAAATTTCAAAATGCAGCACGAGAAGATAAAGTCAAGTATTATAATTAAATGTGCAAAGACTCGGAATTAGAAAACCACAAGGAAAGAGCATGCTCAGGATTTCTCAAGTTAAAAGAACAGAAGAAAAAAATTCAAGCCATGACTTGAAATATTGAAGGATTCTATGGGCAAAATATTGAATGATGCAGAAAGCATCAAAAGAAGATGGAAGGAATACACAGTCACTGTACCAAAAAGACATGGTCAATGTGCAACCATTTCAAGAGGTAGTCTATGATCAAGAACCAATGGTAATGAAGGAAGAAGTCCAAGGCACACTGAAGGCATTGGCAAAGAACAAGGCTCCAGGAATTGATGGAATACAAATTGAAATTTTCCAACCAAGTGATAACAGCAATTCCAAAAGAAATTTGGAAGCCAGCTACCTGGCCAACTGATTGGAAGAGATCCATATTTGTGCCCATTCCAAAGACAGGTAACCCAATGGAATGCAAAAGTCACTGGACAATATCATTAATATCACATGCAAGTAAAATTTTGCTAAAGATAACTCAAAAATGGCTACATCAGTATATTGACAGGGAATTGCTAGATTCAAGCTAGATTCAGACAAGGGATATCACTGCAGATGTCAGATGGCTTTTGCTGAAAGCAGAGAATACCAGAAATATGTTTACCTGTGCTTTATTGACTAAGCAAAGGATTTCAACTGTGTGGATCATGACAAGCTATGGACCACACTGCGGAGAATGAGTTTCATGAACACCTAATAATGCTCATGAGGAACCTGTACTTAGACCAAGAGGAAGTGTTTGAAAAGAACAAGGGGGCAGTGAATGGTTTAAAATCAGGAAAGGTGTGCATCAGGGTTGTATTCTTTCACCGTACTTATTTAATCTGTACACTGAGCAAACAATCTGAGGAGCTGGATTATATGAAGAACCTGGCATCAGGGTTGGAGGTAGACTCCTTAAGAACCTATGATATGCAGATGATACAACCTTGCTTCCTGAAAGTGAAGAGGACTTAAAATACTTACTGATGAAGGTCAAAGACCACAGCCTTCAGTATGGGTTGCACCTCAATGTAACGAAAACAAAAATCTTCACCACTGAACCAATAAATAACATCATGATAAATGGAGAAAAGACTGAAATTGCCAAAAACTTCATTTTGCTTGGATCCACTATTAACACTCATGGAAGCAGCAGTCAAGAAATCAACAACATACTGTATTAGATAAATCTGCTGCACAAGATATCTTAAAAGTGTTCAAGAGCAAAGATGTCAGTTTGAGAACTAAGGTATGCCTGACCCAAGCTGTGGTATTTTAAGTAGTTTCATATGCATAGGAATGTGGACAGTGAATAAGGAAGATCATAGTAGAATTGATGCATTTGGGATATGGTGTTGCAGAAGAATATTCAAAGTACCATGGGCAGCTAGACAAACAAACAAATCTGTGTTGGAAGTAATACAGCCAGAATGCCCCTTAGAATCCAATATGGCAAGACTTCATCTCTTATACTTCGGACATATTATCAGGAAGAACCAGTCTCTGGAAAAGGACATCATGCTAGGTAAAGTGGAGGGTCAGCCAAAAAGAGGAAGACCCCTAACAAGATAGGTCGGCACACTGGCAGTGGCAACGGGTTCAAGTGTAACAAGGACTGTGAGGATGGTGCAGGACCAGGCAGTGTTTCATTCGGTTGTGCAGAGCGTTGCTATGAGTTGGAACCGACTCAATGGCACAAAACTAGAGGGTAGACAGATGCTGCTGTCATATAATTTAGAAGTGACTTAAAGCAAACCCATGTGCCACAGAATGAAACACAATGCGATCCTGCACCATCCTCACAACTGTTAGGCTTGAACCCATTGTTGCAACCACTGTGTCAATTCATCACATTGAGGGTCTTCGTTTTTCACTGACCCTCCACTTTACCAAGCATAACGTCCCATTCCAGGCACTGGTAACATGTCCAAAGTACATGAGACAAAGTCTTGCCATACTTGCTTCTAAGGAGCATTCCAGCTGTACTTCTTTCAAAGCAGATTTATTTGTTCTTCTGACAGTCCATGATATATTTATTAATCTCACCAACATTGTAATTCAAAGGCATCAATTCATCTTGTCTTTCTTATTAATTGACCAGCTTTCAAATACATAGAAAGCAAATTAAAATACTATGGTTTGGGTCAGTCACACCTTAGTCCTCAAAGTGGCATCTTGGTTTTTTTGTTTTGTTTAACACTTTAAAGAGATATTTTGAGGCAGATTTGTCCAATGCAATATGTCATTTGCTTCTATGGGTGTTTTATTTGTTGTGGATCCAAGTAAAAAAGAAAATCCTTGTTAACTTCCATCTTTTTTTCCTCCCATTTATCATGATATTGCTTATTGCTCCAGTTGTATGGATTTTTATTATCGTTATGTTGAAGTATAGTGTGGTGCTGTGGGCTGAATACTCCAGTCTCGGATCTTCATCAGTAGGTATTTCAATTCCTCTTTGCTTTCAGAAAGCATGGCTGTGTCATCTGCATATCACAGGTTGTCAATGAGCCTTCCTCCACACCTGATGCCATGCCCTTCTTCATATAGTGCAGTTTCTCAGACTGTTTGTTCAGCACACAGATTGAATAAACACGGTGAATGGATTCAGCCATCAGAACACCTTCCCTTATTTTAATCAGATCTGTTCTCTTGGTCTATGTATAGGTTCCACATGAGTACAATGAAGTGTTCTAGACTTCACATTCTTTTTAACTTTACCCATAGTTTGTTAAGATCTACACAGCTGAATGCCTTTGCATCAGCAATGAAACAAAGGTAAACATTTTTCTGGTAATCTCTGCTTTCAGTCAAGCACTACCTGATACCAGCAATGACATTCCTCATTCCACATCCTCTTCTGAATTCAGCTTGAATTTCTGGCGGTTCCCTGTCTATGTACTGCTGTAACAGTCTCTGAATTCAGCAAAATTTTACTTGTGTGTGATATTAATGATATTATTGTTGGTAAGTGCTATTAATGATGGTTGTGGTGTGCCGTGGAGTCGGTTCGACTCTAGTAACCTGCATCGGGTTTCTGAGACTGTAAATCTTAACGGGAGCAGAACACCTCATATCTCTCTCTCCCCGGAACAGTAGTTTCGAACTACTGACCTTGAAGTTAGTAACCCGGCTTGTAACTGCTGTGCTACCAGAGCTCCTTATTAATGATGTTGTTGTGAGTGCTGTGGAGTCGATTTCAACCCATAGCGACCCTGTATAAGGTTTCCAAGGAGCAGCTGGTGAGCTTGAACCACCGACCTTGCAGATCAAACGACTTTGCAGTCTGACGCATTAGCCCACAGGTACCACACCACGACTCTTATTAATGATACTGTTGGATAATTTTCACGGTCTAATGATAACCTGCAAGAGTCCTGGTGTGGCGCTGTGGGTTAATGCGCCAGACTGCAAAGCCGTTTGAACTGCAAGGTTGGCGGTTCAAGCTCACCAGCCGCTTCTCGGAAACCCTATCCAGGATCGCTATGGGTCGGAACCGATTCGATGGCACTTAACAACAATGATAACCTGCAAGCGGCATTCTTTTGTGTGACCTCGGAATCTTTTGATCAAAAAAGTCCTCCTCAAACACTCAATTGTTATTAGTTGCCATGGCGTCAGCTCTAACTCTTGACAACTCCATGTGTTGCAAAGGAAAAGGAAAACTACTTCTATAGCCAGTCTGTACTACTGACGGTTGCCGCCACCCAGAGCACTTAAGAGAAACGATTTTTAAGAAACAATTCTGGGAAGCAAGTATCAGCGATCGCTCCCATTTTATATATGGAAATGGTGCGGGCTAGGAGACTTAAAACTCATCCAAGGTCACTAGCAGACGAAGGAAACAGATCCTGCCATGAGGTGCAGCGCTGTCCAGAACCAACGCACCCACATCCGGCCGGATCTAGCCAGTCCTTACCTGCGCAGCCGAGCGCTCGGCGTGGAGGTTCTGGGCGCTCAGGTGCCACTGCGTCGTGTGATACAGTCCCAGGGCGCCCCCAAGGGCCAGCGCCGCCGCTCCCAGCAAACGTTGGTTCCCTTTGCGAGCATTGATGGCAGGGCCCGGGTCGCCCGCCGCCCCTGAAAGACCGGCGCGGCTCTGCGCCCGGAACCCAGGCCGGGGGCGGCAGCCCAGCCTCCAGGCCAGAAAGCGACCCACTGGCCACAGCGCCCTTGCAGCCTGAGCCATATTCACTCAGCATTGCAGGAAGCGCTGCGGTCGGGCTCACAAAACAAAGACTAGGCGCGTTCGCCTTAAAGGGACAGCATCCTCGGCCTCTGGGGTGGGTTGCCTGGGGTTAGATAAACCGAAGTAAGATTGAATTACCCTCTCGAGATTCAGTGCTTTTACTCTGCAGTCGCTCTGAGTCTGAATTCGCCTTTACACAGACAGGGGACTTGGTTTTGTTTTGAATCCCTGGCTCTTTTGTGCAGGCTCCGAGCTTCAGCTTCCTTGTCTATAATAAATGGTTCATAGTAATGCAACAAGTGGCGCAGTGGTTAAAGCGTTGACTGCTTTAAAATCTGCTTCGAACCTACCAAGCCCTCCGTGGGAGAAAGATGTGACACTCTAAAGATTACAGTCTTGGAAACGATATGGGGAAGTTTTACTCTGTTAGCTTAGTGTTTACGAATTGGACTGCTAATCTCACGGTTAGCAGTTCGAAACTACCAGCTGTTCCGCGGGAGAAAGACGAGACTTTCTGCTCCCGTACAGATTCACAGCCTCGAAAACACTCTACAGAGTCGCTATGAGTCGGAACCGACTCCACGGCACATAACAACATAGGATTGCTATGATTCGGAATCAACTCCACGGCAGTGGGTTCTGTTTTTAAATTCATACTTCTGGTATTCATTCGAAAGAAAATAAATCCAAGCTCTTCGCGACGTCAGGAAAAGCACCATGGTTTTCAGATCAAGAAAAGTGGCGGAAAGGCCAGATCAGTCACAGAAGAGAGGTGGAAGTGACCCGGATTCTTTCTGCTGTCCCGCACCATCGCACCGTTTCTTCTATAGCTCGAACCATAAAAATTTTCCAAAGCCGTAGGGGGCCTTGAGAACCGCGTGTCTCAGATTTCTCCCAAGCGGAGGGTCCGGCAGTCCACCCGGAGGTCTCTGAAGGCAGGACGAGATAAGAGTGCGTGGGGTTCCTAAGCTGCCCTCGATTCTCTGCTGTGTTCAATCACCGTAAACCAGTGCTCAACCCTCCACTAGGCTTCTCCGCGGGCAGCCCTAGTTGGGCCCGCAGCACTACCTAAGCAGAAGCAAGGCCCAGAGAAGGCGGGGCTGGACGGAGATCCGGAGGACGCCTAGGCTGGGGGCAAGATGCTGGGGAGTCGGAAGACGCGGCGGATACAGGTCGCTGGTCGTTAGCTGAGCGGGGTGGGGCGGGGTGGGGCGGGAGTTGGGATCAGGGGGGCGGGGCTTGGACCTCCCGGTTGTATTTCAGTTTTAGGTTTGCAAATTTTCTCAGTGTTCCCAGATCCACCAGTATTCTGTCCTCTTGCGGTGCCCGAACTCGCGAGATCGGTCCCCTGGGCATGCCGGTATAGGTGGGTGCGGAATGCCAAGACGATGGTTTCGGTGAAGAAGGTGACCCGAAGGTAGGGCAGCAGAAGAGATCTTTGCTTTTCCTTAGGTTCTTCCCTGGGAAGGAGAAGGGCATTGGCAGGGGATTGAAAAAGACTAAAGAGTACTCCACGCCTGAGTGGGACCGAGTTTTCGGCGCTGCCATAGGGGTACAGGACAAGAATCTGCAGCATTGGAGAACTGCGGGCGTTCCACCTCGTTTTACTAGTGATGAAACTGAAGCGGCTCAGGGATACTCTACCTGAGTGTCAAATCACTTCAGCCCCTAGGGAAACCGAGGCACCTGATAGGGGTGGGACCTAATCGGGGCCTGCTTGGATCTGCAGGAATCTCTGACAGGGTGGGCGCACCCTTTCTGTTGAGTCAGCACCTCTGGGTCCCTGACTTTGATGGTGTGACCTGTTAACATGCTTAGAGAGTGTAGAGAGAAAATTAGTGGCTCACATGCTACCCTCTGGAGCCTCCATTATCCCGTTTTTATAATATTGGAGTAGTGATTATTATCTCCAGCATTAAATTGTGTCAAGATTAAATGAGAAAATTCATGAGGGGAGGCTAGAGGTAAGGGAGGCCCATTTGGCAGCAGCCCTTCCCAGCATCCTTTGCCACATTTAGGAAGAAAACCCAATGAGTGATTAACCCCAATGTCAAAAGACAAGGTACCTCACTCAGATTGCTATTAGGTTCCAGACCACTGCAATAAAGCGAACATAGCAGATCACATGAATATTTGGGTTTCTCAGTGCATGTAAAATTTTATGCCATACTGTAGCCTATTGAGTGTGCAATAGCATTAAAAAAAAGTTGGAAATAGTGTGAGAATTACCAAAATGTGACACAGAGACACAAAGGGAGCACATGCTGTTGATAAAATGGTGCCAATAGACTATCTGGATGAAGGGTTACCCCAAAAGGTCAGTTTGTAAAAAACCAAACCAACCAACCCCCCACCCCCACCAAGTGCAATAAAATGAGGTCTTTTTCCTTTGTTCTCCTCACCAAGATTAGGCAGGGCGTTAGTACAGTCCCAGGGCTCCGCTCTTGGCTCACTAGCCATTGCTCATTCTGTTTCATAATCCTCAGTCCCTGCATTGTCGCTTCCTTAATTCATTCCAGCCAGGGATCTTTGGTCTGTGGCCAGCATTGGGCACAGCCTTGCTTAACACCCAATGGTCTTGGGACTTAGGAACCAACTGGCTGAACTGAATTTAGCCCTCAACCCAAGTCTGAGCTTGAAAATCCAAGGGGTGTGTGTGTGTGTGTGTGTTGTGTTTCAGGCCTCTGCGGCCTCTGTTCCTGATCATCTTTCAGCCCAGCCCTTCCCTAGCCTCTATCTCAACCCCATCCTCTACCCCAGCCCTGCTCCAGTCGCTGTCCCCAGCCTCTCCCCTGACCTTGCTCTGCCTTTGGTCCCGGGGCTGAGCAAATGGGTGCAGCCTCCCTCTCCCATGGCCAGTGAGAAGCAGCATGTCCTGATTACGTGTTTCTCTGTTACTTTGAGGGCAGGTGGCCAAGACCCAGGGTTCTTAACAGGAGAAGACAGAGCTTCTGTCCAGGTAGAGCCCAGATCCTGCAAGCCCATGAGCCCTGTTGTGGTCTAAAACGTCTGTGACCTCCTCTTGGCCCCTGGCCCTGATGACCAATCTCATCCAGGACACATGCCCCTTCATGACTCTGTGACCCCACCTCTCCTGGTTTTCCTTCAGCCTCTCTGGATATACTCCCTTGTGTCCTTCACCCTCTCCTCTCCTGCAGCCCTGCCTCTAAAGAATCAGGTCCCTCGGGGTTCAGTCCTGACCTTGCTGGACTTCCAGACACATGCCCTTGGCCACTCCTTCTCTGTCCAGGATTCTTTCAATATCTGTGTCCTGAAGACCGCAACCTGTAATTTTAAGTCAGCCCTCTCCTGACTCCAGGCCTTTGTTTACAACCATATCTGGGACAGCTGGGATACCTCATAACTCACTTCAATCAAGGAACAACCAACAAATTTGTCATCTTTTCCACCTAACCTCCTCTTCTGCTTCTGCTTCAGTGGCCAAGAGAGAACCTGGGAGTCCTGCCAACCTCTTCACCTCCATGGCTCCCTTGCCCCACCCACTCTGTCACTTTTCCCTCTCACAGTTACCCCTCTCTAAAGTGGGTGTCCCACTGTCCCTCATCTTATTTGGACCGAGACCCTACTGAAGCTGGTCTCTCTGAAACCACTGGTTCCTTTCCCAGATGCCCTCCATGGCAGTCCATCAAAATCCTACCCCCAGCTCTGCCCAATGTGGGGCATACCTGTCCACCTACCTGGTTTGTGGCTCAGAGCCTGGTCAAGAGAGTTATCTGTTGAGCAAAGATCTCTAGCAGAGACTAGAGAGGGGCCCATGTACACACACCAAAATATTTGCCACTTGGGAAAGACCAGTGGTGGGGATCCAACAATTGGATACATGGTCAAAAGGAAGGAGATCCATATTTTAATGAAGAGTATGGTCCCAAGCACTAGGCTAGAGTTGTGCTTGGCTTGGGTCTTCCTGATGGCTGGACTGTGGGTTGTTGTTGTTAAGTGCTGTCAAGTCAATTCAGACTCATCACAACCAAATACAGGGTTTCTGAGGAGTAACTGGTGGGTTTGAACCACCAACCTTTTGGTTGTCAGTCCAGTGCTTATCCTCCAGCACCACACCAGGACCTTAAATCATCCATGACGGAGAAGGAATATATAGCCTAGAGAAGACTGGTGACCATGTTCAGAATCCAAGAGGAGGTTTGCAGAAACTATGGCCTAGAACAGGGTTTAAGGGCTAGTTAAGATCTAGACTCCATCCACTTCCAGACAGAGTGACTCACAGGCTCCAGAATCAGGGGCTTCCCGATAGGCCAGTCGAAGACTTACTTTCCTGCCAGAGAAGGGACCTTCGCTGTCCCTTCTCAGTAGATTTTTAAACCATTGCTTAGGATAGAACTTGACATCTTTCAGTTATTGAGTTTATTGCAACTCATGGCAATCTTGCGATTAGAACTGCACTCAATAAGGCTTTCGAGGGTGTGATCCTTCAGAAACAGATCACCACACTTTTCTTCCAAGATGCCTTTGGGTGGGTTCAAACCACCGACTTTTCTGTTACCATCTGTGCCACCAAAGACACCTATACACCTACTGTGCTGCTGTCTGTTCTTGAGTCTATTCTAACTCAAGTCAACCCTATAGGACAGAGTGGAACTGCGTCACAGATTTTCTAAGGCTGTACATCTCTACAGGAGCAGACTGCTTTATCAGCTCCCTTGGACTGACTGTGGGTTTGAACTGCCACCCTTTTGGTTAGAAGACCAACACTTAACTCACTGTGCCACCAAGGCTCCTTGCACACTTACCATTAAATGAGTAAAAATCAGTTCCAACTCATAGTGACCCTGCATAGGGTTTATCCTACAGCACCCACCAGCATGCCTACCACCTGTTGGTGTTGTACCTATTAGTCTGGCTACAATGTAAAAGATTGACCATAGCAAGTGTCAGTAGGAGTGTGGGGAGCAAATAGAATTCCCCACTCTGGTGGGGAGTGTAAAATGGTACAATCATTTTCGAAGCTCATTTTTGGCATTTTCT